TGTGTGTGTGTGAGGATGGGAGCGCGCAGGCGCACGCGTGGGGGGCCAAGGGGAGGAGGCATGGAAACTAACTCTTCCAGCACACACCCCTTTTGCTACTACAAGGGCATCCAGCAATCACATTTGCAATAGTAAAAATGCTGAAGGATCCTACAGTATCTTTTCTTCCACAACCATCCATATCCTATCCTGCAAAGCCCTTCTTGCTTTATTTGTGCCAGGAAATTCTTCAGGGGTTAAATGGGGAAGTGCGGCCACCACCATTGTTGCAACAAATAAATGAATGAACCAGAACGAACCAGCAATTCATCCCTAGGAAGCTAGGACCTTATTTTCTACAATTACATACATTAGCTAGCAGTGATATATTTTTAAAAATTGTGTCTTATCTTTTGATATGTGTGTATACATTACAAACACACATGCATCTGTACAAAAAGAAGCATAGTGCCCTGCACATACATCAAATACCTTTAAAATTTTTTTAGCTTTATTATTTCAATGAAAAGACAAATAGCTTTTAAAAAATTGGATAGGTTAGCAACTTCATCTTAAAGGCCTTTTATTTTGCACATACAGCATATATAAATACACACACACATACACACACACACACACACAAAGGTTTTTTTTTTCCATGCCGTAGACAATGCTAAAATATCTGAGATCAGGTTGCCATGCCAACAGATTTTTTCTAAAATGAATAAAATTATTAGGAGGGAGAAAACATTCTTGACTCCTTTCCTCCCATCCATGAAGCCGAGAGAGGCTCAGGGAGGGCGAGAGGCTGCCAGATGGGGAGGAGGGGAAGGAAGGGAAGGTGGGTAGAGGGGTGTTTGCTTACCAAAGATGCTGATTTGATCGTGGCAAAGCGCTCTCTGTTCCGGTAGTGGAGGGCCTGGCTCTGAACTGACTGGGTAGGCCGCGGCTCAGGCCTGGGATCGCCGTGGCCCGCCTCATCCCTTATGAATACATGATCCTGCAGAAATGGATAAAAACAAGGAGAAAGTCCAGCTGTGCTCTTTCCTCGCCGGCTGCCTCTCTCTCACCCCTCTTTCTGCACAAGCACTGCTGTTTGAAATGCATAGTTTAGCTCTCTGCTAGTCCCCGCAGCTCCCACGGTACAAAATGAATAAGCAACACATTGCAGCCTTCAGTTAGGAATGTCAGCTGATCGCTAGTGGGATGCCTTCTGAATCCCTGGCAGGCTTTTTCTTTACCTCCAGAATTACATATATGCAAAAGAAAAAAAGAATAGAAAAAACAATGCAATGTACAGACTCCTTAGAACAGTTTGCTTAAAACGCTGTAACCAAATAATTCCTTTAAAAATGTCATGTCCATGTCTAGCAAGGAGGATGCTGGTTGCTTTTAACATAAAAGCGAGCCTCCGCCTCATTCCCTTGAAAGATCTGCTTTCTCAATTTAATTTTATTTGAGATCTGTTCGGTAGGATCATCGTTCTGCCTAGAACCAGTGTAGGCTTGTGCTGAACTGCCTCTCTATCTTGTGCTGGGAAGATTCGGCAGTCACTGAGGGATCCTGCTTTCCAGTCATGATCGTACACAGTTCTAGCACCTTCTCTCTACAGCTTCTGAAAGGATTTTTTTTTAGATTTAAAGAGACAGGCATGCAATTTTAACCAAATGATACTTTCACAAATTCTTCCTCAACTCAGTCTCGATATGGTCACTAGAGTGAGTAAGGCTAGCATTTAATGTCCTTGGCTGATTTAATCAAATCTGTGCTTCTTGATAGGCAGAGATGATTAATCTTGTTGTAACGCCCAGTGAAAAATAACATTCCCTGGAAGGGTAATAATGGATGTTTCTTAAATGCAATTTAAATGAGTTTTAAAGGGGAAAATGCTTTCAAAGGGTGATGCTTTTCTCTATAAAAGATGGAGTGGTCAGTCAGTAAGTAGCTCTTAACCCTTCAGGAAAAAAGATGCTATAATAATAGCTCAAAAACATGTACAACCATGGGGGATTTTTAAATAGTACATGTTCAGGATGGGGAAGGAGAAATTAATTCCCTTATTGCCCTAGGGTTTTAGGAGAAACCATCTGTGAGAAGTCAGTTTTGCATTTTGTCTATGACTACCTGATAAATGTTTTTTAAATAATTGTTCGCTCTTTCAACAGAAAACAAAAATTGAAGAGGTTTAGAAACACAAAATTTTATTATATCATCTAAAATTTTTATAAGTCAAGACACATATTCTTGAGGGAAATTAAATTTTTATATCCAGGTTTTTAGGTAAAAGTCAAGAGCCAAGATTAAATTTACCATTGGGCTGATTTTCTTTTTCCATTTATAAATTTAGAATGCTCCAGAATGTTAGGAAGGCATCTACCATTACATCTATATTTAGAAATTTTTTTTTTCAATTTACTGTATTGAGGTCTATTTTGTTTTTAAATAATGAAGGGACCTTTAATGCCATTGAGGACATATATGTCCAATTCAAGGATATTCTATTGTTATGCTGTCTTATAAGATAGCCAGTAGCCACATGGATATTTAAATTAAATAAAATGTAAAATTCTGTTCCCAAGTCACACCAGCTATGTTTTAAGGCAGCCACTAACTATGGCTACCATACTGAAAAGTGCAGATATAAATCCTTTCCATCACTGCAGTTTTTTTTTTTTTAATTTTATTTATTTATTTGACAGAGAGAGAGACAGCGAGAGAGGGAACACAAGCAGGGGGAGTGGGAGAGGGAGAAGCAGGCCTCCCACTGAGCAGGGAGCCCAATGCGGGGCTTGATCCCAGAACCCCGGGACCATGACCTGAGCCGAAGGCAGACGCTCAACCGACTGAGCCACCCAGATGCCCTGCAATTAGTTCTATTAGATAGTACTATAGGTTAAAAATGTACCTCAACCCATATTTTTGAGATTAAAAAAAGAACAACCAACCAACCTTGATAGGCCAATTAAAACTTCTATATTAGTTCCCAGGAAATCTAACCTCTTATTTTATAGGGCAAAGAGAGATCAGGTATGGGACTAGGATTTATGCACTAGGTTTAAGGTTCTAGGGAGGAAGGCACTGGGATCTACTGCCATTCACATTGCTGGATATTTATTAATAAGTTACATTTATCTCCAAAATTGATTTTTTTTAAGATTTTTTATTTTTATTTGAGAGAGAGAGAGAGCAGAGTGAGTGAGAACATGAGTTGGCGGGGAGGGGCAGAGGGAGAGGGAGAAGCAGACTCCCCACTTGAGCAGGGAGCCTGATGCGGGACTCAATCCCAGGACCCTGGGATCATGACCTGAGCTGAAGGCAGACGCTTAACCAATTAAGCCACCCAGGCGCCCCTCTCCAAAATTGATCTTACCTAATATTACAGTCCCAGAAAAACAAGAAGCTTCTAAATGGCAGCAATCAGATGAGACAAACTAGGTAGGGTCCTGTGGTTTTATAGGAGGCCTTAAGAAGTCAAAGTTTGGTGATTATTAATTAGCTAACATTAAGTTCACTGACTGAGAGGTAGCAGCTCAGTTTCAAATTGTAATAACTTGACTTACAAAGATAAGTAGTGACACTAGAATCTACACAGTTCACTTAACAGAATAATGTGAAACATACTCATGTACAAATATGTATAATTTTAATATTATTAGTGTGTTTTCTCTCAGATAAAAATTAATACTTGTGGGCTAGGATCTTGCTTAGCAAATTAAAAGTCACATTATATTTGCTAAATTTTTAAACCAAGAATATTGGAATACACTGGAAAAGTTAAAATTCAAAATCATAGTGATTTTAATTAACACATAGCTAATTCAATAACCCACTAAGGTATATTTCTAAATTAATGCTATTTTATTATTTTTTCCCCATCCCCTCGGAAAAAAATAATGCTACTTTAAAGATTTTATTTATTTATTTGACAGACAGAGACACAGCAAGAGAGGGAACACAAGCAGGGGGAGTGGGAGAGGGAGAAGCAGGCTTCCCACTGAGCAGGGAGCCTGATGCGAGGCTCAATCCCAGGACCCTGGGATCATGATCTGAGCTGAAGGCAGATGCTTAATGAATGAGCCACCCAGGCGCCCCAATAATGCTACTTTAAAAGCTAATCTGAATAGGTCCAAAATTTTAATCTACTTCAAAAATAGTACATAACGATAACAGTATAATTCTTTATTCCAGCTTAAATTTTTTTCATTTTATAATAGAACTCTTAGTTTTCCACAGCAACTTCATAACCTATCCGCACACTAAAACTCTTCAAATATTATGTGAGAGACCACAAAATGAGGTAAAATTTTAGTCTAACAGTAGACATCCATTTCAAATGCACAGGAAAATGAATTTTAAAATATTCAATTCCATTGCATAAAACAAGTTTATAATTCTGAAGACAACTTAAACAATGAAGCAATTTAAAATGAGGGAAATGTGACTTGAGAAGCACAAATTAAATTATCAACTTTACTGGGTATATTGTCTGTTGGTTATACTTCCCCTTCAAATAGCTGTCCCTTTGAAAATGAGCACCATACCTGGCTCCCAGACTTTCTGAACACATTTTAAGACTAATAATGGAAAGGGATAATTTGCTATTTTTTGCAATTAGGCCCTGATGCAGATTATTTACAAATAGTGTGAGGGCCAACATCTTTGATGCTGAAAATGATTTTAGAAGATTAAGAACAAATATCGGGGTGCCTGGCTGACTCAGTTGGCAGAGCATGCGATTCTTGATCTTGGGGTTGTAAGTTTGAGCCCCAGGTTGGGGGTAGAGATTACTTAAAAATAAAATCTTTTTCTTTTTTAAAAGAACAAATATCATGCTCTACTTTACCAAGACAAAATACAGGTCTTGTTTATAATTTATCTTTAAAACATTACCATCTGGGAATAAACAAAATAGATCTTTCAAATGCCAATATGGTTGAGGACCAGTTTTAAGTAAATCTGTGTTAACCAGGTAAATTTATAATGTTCTTTCACTGTAAAAAAATAAATAAATAAAACTTCCTGTGCTCGCTTTAGCAGCACATATACTACAACTGGAATGATACAGAGAAGATTAGCATGGCCCCTGCGCAAGGATGACATGCAAATTCGTGAAGCGTTCCATTAAAAAAATAAAAGTAAAATAAATATAACTTCTTCAGATTAAAAGGAAAAGAAGATGTCGTAATTTTGGTCAAATCTTTAGCAAAAAGAATTGAACTTTATTTTTTATTTTTTTAGATTTTATTTATTTATTTGAGACAGAGAGAATGAGAGACAGAGAGCATGAGAGGGAGGAGGGTCAGAGGGAGAAGCAGACTCCCTGCTGAGCAGGGAGCCCGATGCGGGACTCGATCCTGGGACTCCAGGATCATGACCTGAGCCGAAGGCAGTTGCTTAACCAACTGAGCCACCCAGGCGCCCAAGAATTGAACTTTTATACAACATACTGACGTACACGAAGCATGAAGCACAAATTTTACTATTATACCCTCAACAGGGGCTTTACTTTTATTTAAATGTTTTTCTCTAATTATCTATTTATTAAGATTCTGAAATTAAGATTCATGGTGTAGTTGCTTGTTTAGGGTTTCCAGATTAACTCGAAATTAACCCTGGAAACCACTCGTGTGGATACTGTTATACTTTGGGTATACCTTTATCATACTATCACATACTTACTTGTGTGTCTGTGCATGAGACTGCAAGCTTTCTGAAAACAGTAAATGTGGCTTGAAAAATCTGTCTCCCTAGTGCCCACCTAGGGCTTGATACTTAGTAGGCATTCAGTAAATGTTTGCTGAATAAATAAGTTCACGAATATAGGTCTGAGAAGATTGTGGGAAAATGACATTTTCTCTTGTATTATTTAACAGAATTCAGATTTGTATTTCATAAAAACCTGCCACTCTGTACTCTAAGAAAGTCATAAAATTGTGACACACAAGCACAAGGGGCAGGAAGAGGATCTAAAAATGGCTTTTATCGGATGATGAGAAGCCTTTTTATAGACTCCCACACTTTTTATGCTGTGGAGAAGGGATCAACAAACCCACCATCTCTCTTTGGTTTCTGTTCATTTCAAAATTATTAAATTATTGCATACGCAGTTGTCGCTATCGAAAACTGGGGTTAGAGGAAGGGAAAAAGATGGACAAAGTTATCTTTACTGGGGAGGATAGCTACTAGGGAGAAAAAAATGACTAGAACACAGAGGACAAAGATGCTACTGTAGAGAGTGGTTTGTATGACTGCTCTGTTTGAGAAACATTACCTTCGTATGTTAATTTACTTTTACTTTGCCAAATATGACTTGAAGAGTCAAAGAACCCACCTCTCTCTTCAGCAAAAATAATAGGAAAGGCCACCGAAGCAAGTGAAAATTAAGCTAGAACATCCTATCCCCTCAGGGCAGCTTTTTTTTTTTCTCCCACAAAAATGGTGAAAGCCGTTCTTTTTTTAAAGAAGGGGCGGGTGGGGTGGGGGGAGAACACTGACGAATAGGAAAAAGGCCAAATAAAGCTTTAGGAGTTAGGATAGAATGATTTTTTAAAATAATCTCTAAAAGAGGGCCATGATGACTAGAGTTCATTAGGCATACCTAAAAGAACAAACTGATTAGCGAACACTTTAATATATTAAAGTCTTATGATCTGTATTAATAGAAGGCAGGAGCAGGCAAAGATAACTGATTTTAGACCTAAAATAAAAGCATACCTTTTCACTGGCAGATTAAAAGAACAGACTTTGTTGGTTAGAACACTATTAAGATCTGTTTGCTGCTGCTACATCCACAATGATTTTAAGGAGTAGGGCAGAGGCTCAGAAGTAGGCTAGGTAACAGCAGAAAACCTAATTTGGATTAGGAGTTTGTTCTGGAGTCCTTTGGGAAAAATCGAGAATTGAGGCGTATGTAGAGTTGTGTCCTATATAAGTTCACCTTCATTTTAGTTCACAAAACATTTATTGAGTACTTACTATGTGACAGACACTGTGCTGGGTGGTAGGAGAAGAGAGATGTCCTTGAGGAGCTAACAGTCTAGAGATATGGTGATATTCTTATTATTGGAAAAAGCAGCGTGGCAACATTAGCAAGGGGAAAAGTGCTTAAAGTTTATTTTGTCTGAATACACTTTTAGACTTACCACGTCATTTTTACTCAAAAGGAGATTAGATTAGGGTCCCTTCAGGGCCTGGGAAAGACCAGAATAGAGGCAAGGACTGGAGAAAAAGAAGTAACCTGAAATTCTGATGCCAAAGGAAAATTTTCAGTGTCCCACCACATTTTTGGGGGCTTGATCTGTGATAGAACTGTCCTGCTAAAATCAGAGCATCTTTATTCTGGATGCAGAGCAGTTAATTTCAAGTCACACTCTTAACTGGTTGCACATGGCCTTTAAAAGTAAGTTTACTTCTTATATAAAATGGTAATCTGTTTCATATCTATGATTTAACTAATTTAGGATAATGTCTGCTTGATTGCAACAATCAAGATGGGGTGCCAAGAAAATCTCCCACCCTTATTCTTATATTTTGGTATTTATTAAGCATGTTCTTACTGTCTGGAGTATAATTATTGGGGAAATGCTATTTAATTTAAACCATAAAGACAATACTTAAGATTATTTAACCCTTTTAATCCATATGTTCAATGAACCAAAATAGCATGATGTTTAGTCTCTGGCAATTCATTCATTCCTTGTGTTTTTTGTTCTTTCGTCCATTCATTCATTCATTCCATAGTTATTTACTATGCTGTGTAGTTATTTACTGTGCTATGCCAGGCACTGTTCAGGTGTTAAGATGTAGTGTGGAACAAGGCAGGCATAGTCTTTGCCTTAATGAAATTTACACTCTACTAATGAAATAATATAAACAAATTAATACATAATATAATATTAGATGGTGGCAAGTATTAAAAAGAAAATAAAATAGGATAATGAGATAATGGGTAGAACACTGGTTGTAGTATGATAATTTAGTGATATATAGGCTTTTCTAAGATTCTGGTCACAGACCCATGCAAAACTGGTAAATGTTTTATAAAACAATATTGATTGCTTTCTTTAAAAATAATCTTTGTTGGGGCGCCTGGGTGGCTCGGTCGGTTAAGCGTCTGCCTTCGGCTCAGGTCATGATCCCAGGGTCCTGGGATCGAGCCCCACATCGGCCTCCCTGCTCTGCCGGAAGCCTGCTTCTCCCTCTCCCACTCCCCCTGCTGTGTTCCCCCTCTCACTGTGTCTCTCTGTGTCAAATAAATAAATAAAATCTAAAAAAAAAAAAAAATCTTTGTTGTCACAAGTTATGGTAGACTCAGAAATGCACCACCTAGATCCGCCTCTAAGAAAAGACTTGCTGCCAGAATGCTGGCAGTCCATTTAGGGGCGGTCTTGGCTGCACAGAGCAGCCTTGAGCAAGTTCACACCCTTCCCAGGTTGCTCATATTCAGTGACTGGTCTGGGTGAGGGTAACAAGGCCCAGCTCTTCTGGCTCAGTTTGGACAACTCTGAAGGGTCATTTTAGCCCCACAGCTCCCTTAGGGGTTGGCTGAGGCGGCTGTTAGGTCTGCTATCTCACTTCAACTTCGCCCTCCGCCTAATGCTGCTTCCTTCTCTCTTCCACAGGTGTTGATCCCAAAGGAAACTCCTAAAAAACAAATTGCTGCTTGAAACTGTTTCAGCTCTGCTTCCCAGAGAATCTACCCTATGACCTAAATGTTACCTGCACCTACATGTAATATAATGTCACCGCTATGCCATCTGCATGAAGAAGGAGGGACTGATCAGAACAGTGGCTTTTAGGGGTGTCTGGGTGGCTCAGTCGTTAAGCGTCTGCCTTTGGCTCAGGTTGTGTTCCCCGGGTCCTGGGATGGAGCCCTACATCAGGCCTCCCTGCTCAGTGGGAGGCCTGCTTCTCCCTCTCCCACTCCCCCTGCTTCTCCCTCTCCCAGTCCCCCTGCTTGTGTTCCCTCTCTCGCTGTGTCTCTCTCTGTCAAGTGAATAAATAAAATCTTAAAAACAACAACAACAACAGTGGTTTTTAGAAAAATCTCCCTTTTTAAGTGAAATCTTAAGTGAAATCCAAACGCATAATGTAAGAGATAAAAGCCGGCCTTGTCCTGGGGGAGGTATGGATGAGGCTTGTTCCTGAGGCACCTTTCTACAAAACAGCTTGAAAGTCACATGAGAGATCTGCTTCTCTAAAGGTTACAGGAATAGTGGTGCCTGGGTGGCTCAGTCGTTAAGTGTCTGCATTCGGCTCAGGTCATGATCCCAGGGTCCTGGGACTGAGCCCTGCATGGGGATCCCTGCTCAGCGGGGAGCCTGCTTCTCCCTCTGCCTGCTCCCCCTGCTTGTGCTCTCTCTCTGTCAAATAAATAAATAAAATCTTAAAAAAAAAAAGATTACAGGAATAGAAACACAGAATTTAAGAGCTGGAAGGGATCTCTGAAACCATACAGAACTCCTAATTTTACAGATGGAGAAACTGAGGCCCACAGAGGTTTGTGATTTGCCTAAAGTAAAATAACACTAACAGTGGCAGACAGAACTATAAACTTGTGTCCTCATTCCTATGATCCATTATATAAAATTTTCTATTGAGAGCTTAAGATCCTATTTTATTTATGTTCCCAAGTGGAAAACTTTTAGGAAGTCAAGCATACCAACAAATATGAAGTTTCTGAATAATTTTTGTATTTCTGTTGAATGATAAATTTTTAAGCCCAGGTATAGGATTTAAATGGGTCTCATGCAGAGATACCATATTTAATATTCAGTTTTCACATATAACATATTCTACTTTTATTGCCTGCCTACATTCCCCCCTTTTTTTAATTGTGGTGAAATATATATAAATTAACCATCTTAATTATTTTTAAGTATACAGTTCAGGTATATTAAATAGACTTATAATGTTGTGCAACCATCACCCCCATCCATCCTCGTAACTCTTTCATCTTGTACAACTGAAACTTGTCCCCATTAAACAACTCTCCATTTCTTCCCTCTCCTCAGCCTCTGGCAGCCACCATGCTACTTTCCGTCTTTACGATTTTAGCTACTCTAAATACCTCATATAAGTGGAATCATACAGTATTTGTCTTTTTGTTACCGGCATATTTCACTCCTC